TTACACTATTCGTTACAATTTATAGATTTTAATTTGCAACTCCGAATTTAATTACATTTAATTTTTTTTTTAAACTTTCAATTGTAACCAATGCTTGTAGTAAATTTTTAAAATTTCTTAGACTACTAAGCATTCTCGGAGGTTATATATATATATTTTTTTCACCTATGCACACCCATCGCTTCAATTTCTAATTTTTCCACTTTAAATTAATTATTTTTACGAAAGATTGTTATCGTTACTCTCAGTGAACCATTGCAATTTCTTGCTATGAGTACTGTTGAAGGTTAAATTAGTAATTTTTTTTGGTGGTCTGGGACATGCACTTCACATTAGTCGTGTCAGGATTTCGATGTTAAACGATTATGAGGTGTCTGTTTCTTGGTGCCACGTTTGTATTGATTATATATGTTTTCACTAGTACTTATTTCTTATCGAGAGATTCTGCATATCACAAAGTATTTTGTTCGATGCGCATATGTGTGGTTATTGTGAGTAGCGAAGCTGTTATATATGCAATTTTTGATTTTACTATGCGTTACTCGTCTTATTTTTTTTTTATTATTATTTAGTGGCACATGTTTCTTTGTGATTATTCGATTATTTCTATTTGTTATTTTATTTATGTTGTCCTTGTGAATTGTTTGGTGACCCATATCTCATTCGATAATTATTTGTTCGGAACATGATTCTTAAAGTAAATAAGTTATCATTAGCGTCGCATCAATATATATTTTGTTATAGTATTCTCAAAACAATTTTATATACATTTTCTAATGTAAGTGACACAAAATATCATAAACATTATCCATTTACACGTTTTTTCAAAATCATGGTTCCGAACGTAGTCGGATACCTTAAAAAAGAAACAAAGTAAAATAGTAAATAACTATACAAGGGAAATAATTGAAATCCATACACCATTTATTTGACATGAATTAGACGAAGAGTTTGCAATTGTTTTTGCTCAAAGGCCACATTGTCAAAGCGGAAGGTACCGGAGGACAACAACATTCTAATATAATTCCAATCATTAGATACATTTGAATCTCAGAAATGGTATAAATTTTACCATATAAATCAAAAAAAATATAAGTTCATAAAATAGTAAACGTTTTGTTTAATTTATTTACTGTACTAATTTGTTATCATATACAGCTGCAAACACATTTATTTTAACCCCTTCACGACGGGCAGTGCAAATATTCATTTTAGAAAAACGCTCTGTTAGATAGGGCGATGCATATATGAATTTTCAGCTAGAACTTTTTTTAATAACCACTAGCTGGCACCCTATGTCCATTATATTGAAACTGAACATAACTAGAGTAACTTGACCTTTGTTTATTTATATTCTTCCTGGATTTGATATTTTGCTCATCAGCTGTGGAGAGGGAGGGATAATCGAAATGTAAACAAATAAATCTCGAAAAATTTCCACCTGATATTAAACATTCGCGTTTCTAATAACTCTCCCACAATGCTTTTTTTTATTTTCTTTTTCTTTACAGTTTGGAATGTTTTAGGGTTTTAGCGTCAGTTCTGTTACAATTTTTGTTGCTTTCGGATATATTTCGCGTACTTTTTTTATTTCAAAAACTTTAACTTCAGGTTATTATTTGATTGTTTTGAAGGCATTTTTCCAATCTTAATATGAACAAAAAGGTTCAAAAAAAGCTAACGTGCATAGCACAAACCGTGTGTAAAAAAATGTGACAAACATTTTTTAATAAGGAATAGTAGGAATAATTAATAAGGAATAATAATAAGGAACAATGTAGGAATTCGCGTTTCTCCATGTTTCGAGATTTTCCACACTCAATCTTCATTTTAATTTTGCTATGTCTTATTGTAAATTATCTTTGTCATAATTTTTTTTTATTAATTTGAAAGTGTTTTAATGTTTTTTGTCAATGAATATTTTGGAAATAACTGAATAGTGCTTACGAAATTTATTTCTCAAGGTAAGTTAAGGTATCCGAACACGTTCGGAGCACTTTTTAACAAAATAACATATTTAAACATTATAAAGGCTTTTATAGGACTCAATACCAATAAATACTAATATTTAACTAACAATATTTAAAATAAATTGCCTAAATTTCTCAAAAATCCCAATTATAAGTGAAATTTTAGCAACATTTTTGTAAAACTTCAAAGCAATTAAAAAATTAATACACTTATATTAGTAAAAGTATTACCAAAACAATCTAGATTTCAATGTTTTATAAAAATTTGAAAATTTTAGAGTTGATTGAGTACATATTATAAGAAAAATCACATTTTTTATGAGACCATTATTTAAATAACAAGCCCTAACTCAAAAAAATATTCATACACTAAGAAATATTTTGGTACATTCTCTAGAAAATAGCATAAATATCAGGTTAAAAAAGTTTTATAGAAATACATTTGTAATAATTTGAGCAATCAGACCCGCCATAATAGATTTCGAGTAATTTAAATGCCCACTTCTGGTAGATCAAAGACCCTCTTCCGGTTTTCCTAACTTAATAAAATTGATTGTAGCGTGGCCTTTAGCTAGAGTAGAAACAAAACAAAATATGTTTAGTAAAGCCAAAAGACAGTTCTATTCAATAAAAGAGAAAACAAAAATATATGTCTTGACCAAATTTGGTCATTTTTAACGTGTTCGGATACCTTATATAAGTCATATTTTTTTATATAATTCCATGTAAGTGAGAGGAAATCCGTTATTACATTCTAGTTTTAATGTAACTGACAACTTGTGTAGTAATCTAAAGGGGTATTATTTATGCTTTTTTTTCATAAGTTATTCTTAGCGACGAAAACGCCTCTTCCTGAAGAGGTTAAAGAGATAAATGAGATAAATGTATCATTACATTTTTCTACAATATATTTAAAATCTGGAGGGATATATTTTGTTGAAATTCTCATCACAGCTTGCAAGTCAATGTCAGCTAACTTAACTCTATAAATGCTCTAGTTTATCCCCATGCAAGGTAAACTTTGCTCGTAAATATATACCATTCAAAATTTACAAAGCTTTTTCTACAGAAACATTGGAGACATTTTCTCTGTACAGTAGAACGTCGTTTATCTGAACGTTTATTATCCAGGGCGTCAAATATCCGGACCAGTTTTTTTGTCAACTACGCGTACTGTGAATGAAAATGCATGAAATAAGCTGTGGCCAGGTTTAGAAGACGAAAAAGACTTCAGTGACGACCACAGGGAAGAGAATACCGACTTTGTTTAATCAATACCAGGATTTCAAGAATGCGATGAAAATGTAGAAGCACCTGGATGGCATGCGATGCAGAAGACTGTGGATTTCAAATGCTAAATGAGGACGAGATTGTTATTTTCGTGTAAAAAGAATGCGACCCTGTCGACGATGACAAGGTTGAAGGCGAGGACAACAACAACGAAAGTTGCAATGGTTCATCAAATGCTAATGCGTTTTCTGGGTTAGAGACAGCTGTGGAGGGGTACGAACAACACTCAGAGTGCTGTCCTACTCAACTAATGCTGCTCAAAAGAATCAGTGACCCTGTAGCGAAAAACCAAAGGAGTACAATGGTACAGCGAAAAATAAGTGGTTATTTTCCACAGTAAAGGTAAAATTGCGACATTTTGCACCTATTTTACTTTTTCTTTAAGCGCGTTTCCCGCCGATGATGATTTTCAATATTCGTATAGTGTCCGGTTTCATATACTGCATGCATCGCATTCGGCTTTCGGTTATCCGAACAATCGCGTATCCGAGTGGTGTCCGGTCCCAATTGATTCAGATAAATGACGTTTTACTGTATTTGGTTTATGTCTTGGTGGGTCGCATTAAAACTCTTTGCGGGGCGCTGGGCTCCCTCCCCAGCCTTAGACAGAAAAAAAAAATTGATATGACTGTGCTAATTTAATTATAGCTTTTTAAAATAATTGGCATTCTTTTTTTATGGAGCATGGCTAAAGTAGGGTTTAGTTTATTCCTTCTTTATGGACCTATTGACATTTGGAACAGCTAAGGCAATGAAAATTGGCCCGTTCTTACTATCACAAACCAAAATAGTAAAGTAGTTATGCTCATGAACTCATAACTGGCCTTGTTTCTGTTTGATGCATGCTAAGCATATGCGTCAAAGCTCAGGTGTCAACACTGTCACCACTTAATTAAAGCTCAAAATTACGTGTTCCCCCTAGCGGTAACCTATGACACGCATGCCTCATGTGACACAGGGTGCAATTCTCAGTGGCACTCAGCTCTTCGGATTCTACAAATCTAGCAATTTCTGAGATGGGGGCAAGTTGATGAAGTTGTAATGGACCTTGTTTAAGAAACATCTTCAGAACTATGAACATTTACGTAATTTCGGAAAAATCCAAAAAGTAACTCGAAAGATAAATTTACAGCTATTTTATAAATTAGTGAATGTCATTACTAGAGAGATTTGATAGTTTGAAGAGAGAAAATTTCATGTACTCACTGTTTTCCGCTTTGGGTTCTACACATATCAAAGTAAACCACATTCCTCATATAAAAATATTTCGAGTCCGCAGAGAAATTGTTTAACAACTGAATTCCACGTCAAATTGAAAGTCACAAATTCTGCCCTGATTTTGCGATATGAAAGTAGAGCAGTGCAAGCGCTAAGTTCACCTAAAATTTTTCTTTGACCGATAACATATGTCTGATTTAAGCATTGCTGCTTACTTTGCAGTAACTTTTTACCCTAACCACTTAACCTTACTTCTTTAATAAACACAGTTACCATGGTTTCTTTAATAAATCTTTGTAATTTTTTATTGCGATTGTCGTTGAGTGTTATATCCTGAATACATACAAAATACGAAAGATAGATGAACAGAAACATACAATACAATCACAGAAGAATATAAACTTTATTACAAACAATGATACCAGCATAGGACATAGAAGGAGCGCTGTTTTCCGTTCGAGACGGGAATCCATGTCAGGCGAAAGTCCTAAGTCCGACTTTAATTTCCCGAAGATACATCCATGCCTTACTCGGGATTCGAACACAAGCCCCCTCGATTACAAGTCGAGTGTAATATCCATCATACCTGCTGAGTGTCTTATTTTACGACTAAGCATCATTTTGTTTTATAAATTTATATATACATTTTAAAATAATTTTGTTGCATCTATTTACCATTGAGTAAGTAGAACATGCATCCCTGCCTTTTTTTAAACCAAAAACACACTACTGGTTAAAAAAAAACTAAAATACACACCTTTATAGTTAATCGAACCAAATTGTAACTTAATCCTTTAGTTGCCAAATCTGGAAAGATGATCTGGAATTAGTTGCCAGATACGGGTTTGGATCTGAAAATGGGAAATTGTTAGTCATGATGATGCTAATCAGATAAATGGAACAAAGTTATTAAATCATTGTATTGTCATTGGTCCTTTACAAGTGAGCAAAATTTCGAACTAATCTCACCTTTTAACGTGGGTAAAAATTGAGTTCAAGGATTCCGTTACATTCAAGTGAAGCTTATAAAAGGGTGTTAATTAAAAATTGAAGATTACAGCCCGGCATGTTTAAATTCTTCTCATAATATTCTCAACAATATTTCTGGTATAAAAACTTACTGATGACATATCGCAATTTAATCCCATATCCACCTTTTTGAAACCTAAAATAAACGTAATAAAATCTTCTTTTAAGAACTTGTAATTATTTTAATCTAATCTTATCTCATATTTTCCACACTTTTAAGCGACTCTTGAGCAATATTGGTTCTTGAAAATGCTTATCATGGGACCAGATATAAATATAAATTCTACAGAAACCCGTCTCTGGTGCGAACACACTTAATATATTTATAATCCTTTCAAAAGAGATCCAGTCCTTTTTTTGGAAGTGAAAATTAAAAACATTTAAAAGATCTTATCGCCTCTCGTCTAGCACTTGTTTCTTTCAAATTCTTTTCAAAATATCGATTACTCATCATTAGGTAAGATGAAATGTCATTTAAAGAGCTTGAAAAGGGGTGTTTTTTAAATTCATTTACCCAATTGAAAAAAAAATCGAGGAAATATTTCGGTCGATGATTATTCCATAAATGCATATTAATGTAAGCTTATTGAAATAAAATTTTAGAAAGACCCTTGAATGATATTTAATACATTCATATTTTTTTCTTTTTTTATTATTATTAATCTGAGTTTTTATCTTGCATTTTAAAAAATTAGAAATATTTTAGTTTCTCATTTATTTTAAAGACTGCAATTACAAAATATTTGCTGTTATTTGTAAATTGTTTTGTTTTATTCCTTGTATTGGCTCAGTTTAGCTTTTTTAACAATAGTACTTAACAAATATATCATCAATATTTTTCTAATGAAATGACTGGTTTAAGACCAATAAAAATGAATTAAAATTAAAAGGATAAACTATAAATCAGAATTTTCCTCTTAGAGATTCTATCAAAGATGAGAATAGATAGATTCAATTATTCTTGCATTCGAGCTCCAGATTATGCACAATAATGTTTTATTTTATTTTTTTCAGATTAAAATTATTACAGAGGAACCCGAAATTAATATTTAACACGTTCTATACTCCTAGTGTTAAACATAATTGAGTTTGATGGTATATATTCTCTTCAAATGTGTTGTTACTTTTCATTTAAAATTTATATTTCCTCATTATTTCTTTGCACCGGAAGAGAGGTCGTTCTCTAATGAATCCCATCTTATTGCGACATTCATGAAAATGAACAAGCCGACAAGCTGGTCAAAGAGCCTTCGACACTGCATCCACCTTGCCTTCCGATGGCTCTTCGAAACACCAAGTGACTTCTCAGGGACAAATTGCGACAGAAGAGAATTTCCACTCCTACAGACCCGGCTGTTGGCAAATATTGGTCTTGTCTGCTCTATGGCCAAAGACGTGCTCAGCTTTCTGCCCTACATGGCATGTGGCATGTTTCAGAATCGTCACCGGACATGATTACCTGCATGCCCATCTGTTTCAGATTGGCCTGGCTGATTCACCGCTCTGCCCTCTCTGTAAATCCGTGCCAATGACTGGGGAGCATCTATCCGATTGCCCCGCGCTACTTCGTGTTCTCTCGCAAGACAACTGTGGAGTTCTCTTTCCTGCTAGAGCGACATCTGCTTTATATTGGACTGCAAGACGCTTTATGTCCGAGAGAACGTTGGCGGGAGTAATTTTAAAAAAAATATTTCCTCATTAATTTCTACATATAGTGAACTAGTACTATATATAGTGAAATTAACATTTTTGTGTATAAATTAAACCATTGAAAAATATATTCATTATGAACAGTTTACCGCATATAATTTTTTTTTGAAGTCTCTGAAATGTATTGTCATAGTACTGCAGCTCATGGGGTTCTTTATAATGACTGTTATGTATTGTATCATTTACGATAATGCTATTTAATAAATGAACCAACTTAAGTCATCCCAAAATTTGGGTAAAAATCTGCATAACGGTTCGACTTTACTTGCAATAAAAAATTCTGCTTACACTTAAGTGATGTAATGTTATATGGTTCAGGTTTCTCGGAGAATTCTCTCTTTTCGTCACTCAACCCTCCACTGAGCTGTTAGCTTAAAAATATTAAAAACAACTTAATAGGTACCGTCACGGGAATGATATTGTAGGTGGTTTGGCCCGTGAAGGCAGCCATAAAGATACTACTCTTGGTGGCAGCCTTACTTTTTCAGAAATTGCTACTCGGGTTGTGACGAATCTGTGCGGCATTTTATCACTAATACTCTCTTGGGCGACTTTGGGGATTGTAAATTCGCGTATATTTCCAACCAGCTCTAAAAGGAGAACCGGGATATGCAAATGAATCAAAGAATTTAAGGAGAGTGTTGTAAGTTATCAGGGAGATGGCTATTGAGCCAAGAGATACATTGACATAGTTCTAAGAAGATTCAAGCAGATTGTGTGATTAGTTTCTGACTGATTATCAGGCAGCAATCTACATTTGGAAAGTTTGAGCCGACTGGAAACGATTGAAATAGTAAAAGTCAGGTGATGTTTAAATTTCAATTATCGGATCATAAGAGTAAATATATAATAGAGTTAGTGGAAAGTTAATGATTGCTAGTAATTCAAATTATGTATATCTCTCGGTCCTCTTATTCCGGTAAACCCGTTCGATATTGAGTTTAATAGTTGATTAGTATCATATTCAGTGATTTAATTTAATAGTAAAGTTCAATCCTATTGACTTAGTCAAATTGATTCATCTTTGTACTTAGAAGGTTGATAATTGATTCAAGTGAACAAATATAATTTGTTATTGTAAAAATGTCGTCTGGTAATTCCTTACCTCAGTTTAATCTCCGAGTCCGGGGTGGAAAAAAGGGGGGTTCTCACAACTTATTTGGAGAAGCTGTAGTAACAGCTAGAACATGCCAAAGATGCCTTGTGAAATTTTGCTTGGATGATTTTTCTTCAACAGACGAACCCATATCAGGAAGTCCAGCAGATGATATAGACGAAGTGCAACGCAGTATGACCAGCATAAATCCCACTTTAACCTCCACAGAAGTAGGCTTTAAGCTTGGAGTTAATCAGACTACTGCTTTAGATTACATTAAAATGCTTGGTTTCGTGTCAGAACTCTATGTTTGTGTGTCACACGATTTAAGCATAAAAAAATTGATGTACAAAATTTCGATATGTTCTTGAAATCTTGCTCATCACAAAAGGAAACCATTATTGGACCACTTGATGATAGGAGTTGGAAGTTTAATAGTGTTCATACATGTGGTAAGAAGAAAAGTATGTGTTACAAAGGTAAGAAACATGTTCCAAGGGTTCACCACGATACACATCCAAAGCAAAAACTGCCATGCATCAGAAGAAAGTTATGTTATGTTATTGGTGAGATACCAAGGTATAGTGCAAAATTAGTTGCTGAAAGAAAATAAAACGGTTGATTGTGTTCGCAACTTTGTGACGGGCTCACGCGTATTTTCTTTAACATGTCCTTTGGGTTCTTTGAGGCCAAAATTAATGACAACTCTTTTCTAACCAAATCCAAGAAGTGAAATGTGAAAGAAAGATGCAAATTAAGAACCTTTTAAATATCAGAAGTTAGAGTAAGCGCTGTGGCAATTTGTGGCAGTTAATGGCAAGTAGATGAATGTTAATATAGTTCATGGTTCAAGTTTGGATAAGGTTACGTGGCGGTGATTAGAACTTATAAGTGATAAAGTTATAGAGAACCAAGGTGTATGCCAGTGAACGCAAGTAAATACAAGATTGCCGTTATGATATTAGTGATTGATTCTTCAGACTGCAACAAGGTAGGATTGACTATTTAATATCATAATCAGTGATTGTATTAGAATTAAGTTTTGGGGATTCAGTTATTGATAGTGGTCCGAGTTAGGTTAAGTCGTTATTATCTATATATATTGTGTGTTGCATATTTTGACATCGCAGATTCTCTCACATTAATTATTATAATTTAATTTGTTAGAAGTTTAAGTTGAAAATCTTAATAAAGATATGCATGCCTCTAGTTCTTCCGTTAATCCTACAATTCTAGCTCCCGCTGACACTCCAAGAGATATTCTCCCAAGAGGGGAATGTAACATTTTGATGTTTTGAATAAAGAAATACACACACACACACAGAATAAACGTCTATTTTTGTTTAACAGAAAGGGTGAGATTCTTCATAATGACAACGCTAGACCACACATGGCAAGAAATAATGCATAAAATTTGTAGAGTTAGGTTGGGAAACTGTATCGCAGCCACACAGAATATACTCTTTATATTCTATCTATTACTATCTGATTAATATCTGTTCACACAGGTCACTGTAAAACTTTCTTGATGGAAATAAATATATAAATTATGAGGATGTTTAAATGTTTGTGGATGAATGATTTGTCTTGGAACCAGAAAACTTCTTTTCCAGGGGATTAGATGAGCTGCCAGAGTGTTGAAAAACAATTGTAACTAACAAAGCCCATTATGTATTAGATTGAATTTTAAATAAAAAAAAGAAAGAAACCATTCGGTCTTTTCATTAGGAACAAACGACAGAACTTTCCCTTACA